AAAATTTCACGTACTTTTTTTTCCGTGTATTCTCCACAAATTTGAGATTTAAAATTATGTAAAATATTGTATGATAAATAGAAAAGTTATACCTAAACTGGGGCTATTAAGAACAAAATTCTGTTTTCGGTTGGAGTTGATGCTATCGGCGCCATTTATCGATAAATAGTGTTACTTGCTTTTGAAAAATTGTTGCTGCGGTAACTGGCAACACTTTTCAATGCAATAATTGTGATTATTAATTATTTTGTGAACAATAGTAGCTTGTAAGTGACTTAATGTGTTTTAGTAAAGTTTCAAACGTGGAAAACATTTGATTGGTTTGGTAAGTTGTTTCATTTTTAACTTCTCAAAGTGATTGTTTTTTATTAATAGGATTTCTTATAGGAAACTTTATTGAGTTCACTAAGTAATAAATACGTTTATTTTGTATTTACAGTAAGATTTTAGAAACAAAAACCAAAATTCACAAATGGCGGGTATATAAGGAACACAATTATTTCTTCCGAATTGTTCAAGTGTGTTGTCAAAACGTAAGTTTTTCGTAATTTCTTTTGTTTTTTATTACCTAATTTGGCTTTTAGTGTTAAAAGATGGTTCGAAATTATAAAAGAGTGTTGGTATCGACAAGTCGCAAAAAACGATCAGTGATTCCATCATCGACCTCAACTGATGATACCAGCAACGTTTAAAACACACATTCGCTTTTTTAGTTTTCTTTTTACATTTGTTTTATATTCTGTGTTTACTTTCGAGCAATAAAAAATAACTTCTTTAACTTTAAATACGTTTTCCAATGGTTTGTACCGCCTTGTTCCTAATAGCCCCAGTTTACGGTAACTTATAAATATATAACCTTGAAATAATTATTACAACTTATTTTATCTTAACTATTATATGTTTCTGTAATTTAATTTATTCAATTCAATTTAATTAATAAAATTAATTAATTAAAATATTTAAAACATCCTATTTTTTCTTATTTTTATCACTTTTAAAAAGGTTAATTTTGTAAATGTAAAACAATTATTTGTTTTTATTTAAGTTCAGATGACGTGAAGTTGACCTTTATTATAAAAAACGCCGGCGCCAAATTTTAACCTCTTAATTTTTTCGTAAATTTTAATTTAAAATATATACTTTAAAAGCTAAAAGTTAGCATGAACATGCTATAAAGGTGGTAGATTTTTGAAAGCTCAATATAATTGACTGCATTAATCCATAAATAGTAATTTTTTTTCATTTCTGTTTGTAACTCACAAAAGTGAGTATTTCGGGAGAATCACCCATGTATAAGCCTATTGAGCTGAATTAAGGTATACATTACTATCCGTTCATTAAATCCTGGCCCCTCTAGTTTTCGGTGAATAACTTCGCGAAAAAAATCGCTAATAAAAACGAAAAAAAGCATAAGAAAGACAATTTTATTCCGAACAAGTTGATATAAATTTCATTATTGCAAGTCAAATAGTGTTGATAACACGATAAGAAAATGGTGAAAAACACGGAAAAAACGACCAATTTATCATTGCTGACTTTGAGCCCGTACAATTTAAAGAAAAATGGTTAGAAACTGAAACAAAAAATCAGGTGTAGACATTAATTCTTCCTAAATGATATTATTAAAACGAAAGTTTAAAATGTTAATTAGTTTAATGCATAAAGTGAAAAAATTAAAAAAATGCTATCTCAACTTCCAACAGTCGCATAAATTCGAATTGTAGCTTAAAGTGCGTAAACAAATTCACACATAATATATTTAAATTTTCAAAGTTTTAAACAAATTACGAAAAAAGTTTAATGAAAAAATTTTTTTAACCATTTTTTTTCGAACCAGAAGGCCTTGAGTGAAAATGAGTCTCCCATTGTTGACGGTCCAACAATGCTAAGTTTACTGCCCAATGCAGCAAGTGGCAGAAAATGCCAAAGGCGCAGAATAAGGGATTTCGAAAGGAACAAAATTTTAGACGATTTGTGTACAAAGATATTCTTTTTCATTTTTCACAAAATTTACAAACAATTTTATTTTTATTGTTTTAAATAAAAATATGATTTGATAAAAAATTATAAATACATTTGTTATTACATTCTCAATTTTTTCTAAATTTTATAAAAGATTTTATACAAATTTTATAAAAATAATTGTTATACAGTACTGTCAAACTAGTGGAACAGCACTGGTTATACTCTTTTTGATTTTATGGAAACAATATGTGTTTTATATTTTCATTATGATATCCAAATTTTTTATTTCCTTTGTTTTTGTCGTTAAAATTTTCTATTTAATTCTAAAATGACTAATTGTAAAATAGTATATTTCGTAACAACTGCTAGCACTAGTTACGAACGATATTTTTCATAACAAGGTGCAAAAAAGTGCCCTTTTTTGCACCGCGTTATGAAAATAAAAAATAATACTTGTATATAATTTTTTTTCAAGTTTAATTTTATCAAAACTAACGTTTTTTATTACTAATTAACTAATTAACATTCGTTGTTAGCATAATTTTAATGGTAGATATCCAGTTTTGAGTGACAATCCTTGAGATATTGAAGAAAGCATTGTAATTCAAGCAACATTTCTCAAATCACATTTGTTGATTGATTTTCTTCATTCACTGTAATGAAAATTAAACATTTAATGTAAATATAAGTTAATATCGACTATTATTTAAGGGGAGGGACCGGAGATTTGTTATTTTTCCCAGTGGAATATGATTTTATGTTGCAGAAAAATGTCATAAAAAATTGTTACCCCTGAAAAAGATCAATCTTGATTGGTTTTAATTGTAGTGGTGATTTTTAAAAAATTCAACGTCTCCTCAGTGGGGCCAAAAACACGTCCGTGGATAAATTGACATTGAACCTGCAAATATTAACCGATTTTGACGTTCTTTGTTTTGACTTGAAAGTAACAAAATTCCTCACAACTTGTTCGTTTTTTTTATTAAAGAAAATAACTTTTTTTATTGTTTATTTATTTATTGTTAAAGTTGAAAAAAAATTTCTTATTTAAAAACTTTACAAGTTTTTAGAAAAAGACAGTATTAGATCAACAAAGTCTAAAATTGTTAAAGTAGTGCTTTAGTCTCTAAATCTGAATTACTAAGAATGTTTACTAATTTGAATTAGTAACTCACTTTTTGCTTTTAAATTAGCAAGATTTCACTAACTAATAGTAAACATTCTTACTGATTCAGATTTAGAGAGATAGAAAAATTTTCTAACAATTAGAAAATTGTTTAAACATCGCTCGTTATTGTTATTAACAAATAAGAGGAATAAAAATGATTTGCTTGTTTTCTTACCTTTAGCAATTAAAATGCACGTAATCTTTTGTATTTGAGGCCAAAAGTAATTAACAGTGCAAATAATTATTATAAACTAACTATGGTTATATATTTAAAAAATTTATAAAAAAAGACAAAATTTCTTATTATTGTAGATCTGTCTTTTTCTAAAAACTTATAAAGTGTTTGGATACGAAATTTTTTGTAAGTTAAACAGTAAATAAACAATAGAAAAAATTATTTTTTTCAAAAACAAAAACTAACAAGTTGTGCGGAATTTCGTTACCTTTAAGTCAAAACAAAGAATGTCAAAATCAGTTAAAATTTGTAGGTTGAATGTTAATTTGTCCACGGACGTGTTTTTGGCCCCACTGTGAACTCTCACAATTCTCATTATTTTTCAATGGCAAATTTTCAAAAGGTTTTTTCATTATTTTAAACAATCAATCTTATAAAATTTGACATTTTTAAATATTTTCCAAAAATTTTTTTAAAAATTCTAATAATATATGATAATTTTGAATCGTAAATTATACCGGAGAATAAATTAACACCCCTAAACGGTGTTCCGGAATTCTTTTTGTAAAAATGGCCACCGTATTGTGTACAAAATTTTAAAAGTATTTTCCTTTCCAATTGGGACAATTATGACAAAATCTACAAAAATGCCAGATTTCCTGAGGTTTTAATCTTTTATTTGCGCCCAAGAAATAGAAATTTTATTCACATACACAGCGATAGTTTGTAGAATTAGAAGACTCTAAACAAATGTGTGTTACATCTAATTACCGCTAGGGGCGTAGGGGCACCTGACGGGCACACAAAAATTTCCAATTTTACATTTTACGGTCGTGTATTATAATTATCTTTTAATTTCTTTTACTCAAGCCCCACAAACCACAGACATTTTCTGCAAGTTTGCTGCAAGTTTTCCATGCAAATTTCGCATGTTTGCACTGCAAGTTTGCAGCAAACTTGCGCCAAATAGCAAAAACTTAAATGTATGCGCAGCAGTTTACTATGACATCTAGAGCTGCGCAGTATATTTTAGTCACCTTCCCTACAGGGAAGGCATCGTTCATCAAAATATATGCAATTTGAAAAAAAAAATTTTTTTTAATTTTTTAGGTATTTTAGAAAGTTTGCTGCAAATTTTCCTCAAGTTTTCATTGCAAACTTGCCAAAAGGGTGACATTTTTATTTGTATGCAAGTTTGCTGCAAACTTGCAATGCAAACTTGCGAAATTTGCATGGAAAACTTGCAGCAAACTTGCAGAAAATGTCTGTGCTTTATGGGAGTGGAAGAAAAAGTTTTTAGGAAATCTGGCATTTTTACAGATTCTGCCATAATAGTCCCAATTGGAAAGAAGAATACTTTTAAAATTATGTACATAAATCGGCGGCCATTTTTACAAAACAAATTCCGGAACACCGTTAACAATAATATTTTCAATATATGCTGAAATTTCACCGGTTCCTTCTCTTAAAGCAATATAACTATTATTTTACATTTACAACTAACCTATAAATCATTAAGCATTAAAATTGTATCATCAGTGTCAGACATATCTTCGCTATCACTGTCATCTTGAAGGTTGATAACAAAAGGCTCTACATGCGCTGAAATTCGAGGAAGATTTCCTCTATATTCCTCTTCTATTTTTTGCGCATGTCTTACGTAATTCGGCCACAATGTTGGGGGTACATTGTTCATGGATTCCTCACACAAGTTTCGAACATCCGCGATTTTGAAGGTTTTGTTTTTTTTGCTACATCTTTTTTTACATATGCCCAAATCAGCTCGATTGGGTTTAGCTCGCAATGAGCTACTGGTAACCATAGCAAATGTATTTCACCGTTTCTCATTTCTTCTGCAATTTTATCCAGTAAATACACTTTTGGATAATGATAGTGACGTGCAAGTAATAACAAATCCGGTTTATTTTTTTGGTTAAAGTCAAACACATCAGATGGTATTTCAACTTCACGTCGAATGAGCCATTCTATTATCTCTGCTTTTTTCCATTTTGTTGTTGGATTTCTGAACTGGGGATCGAGCATCGTGTGATAGGGTGCCTGGTCGAGAACAACAACAGAATTTCTGGGTAGAATTCTAAGCAAGTGACGGAACCACTCCTCGAAATGTTGCGCGTTCATTTCTTGGTGATAGTCCGCAGAGCCTTTATTTCCAATGAAACATGTCATACAGGACTCCACAAACCCATTTTCGTTGCCAACATGCAAAATGATGAGTCTCTTTCCAGCTCCTGAAGGAGTCACAAATCCTCCACGATAGTTGCCAATTTTTTGAACATCACGATACGCATCAAAATTGTCAACATTTTTTTCGGTACTGTATTCAACCCATCCTTTAGATAGCGTGTGGTTTGCGCCACACCATGTTTCGTCGAGGTAATAAATATTATAACCTTGACTTCTGAAATTCTGAATGGATTCCAAATAAAATTTTCTTTTTTCAGCGACACTTCGACTTTCCATTAAAATCGGCTTTTTTTGAAATTTTTGGTAACTAAAATTTGTTTTCTTTAATAATTTCCATAATGTTGTTTTACTTATTTGCGGAAACTCAGGAACATCTTCTTTCATTTTAATTAACAGATTCTGGACAGTCGGAAAAGTCTTGCTGAGATAAAAGTCGAAAATTTTTCTTCGAATGACACTTAAAAAGAAATCCTCAATATAAATTTGCGGTCTTCCGGTTTTTACATGAGGTGATTTTAATTCTCCGTTAGCAGCTTCTCGACATACTCGCTTAACTGTACGTTCTGAAATTTCTAAACATTCAGCTGTACGCTTAACAACATTAAATTTTTTGAAAACAGCTTTCTCAATTTTAAAATGAGCTCTTACTTTAAGAACCATAACTTTTTCTTCCACATTTAAAGCACTGTTTTTTTTCTTTTCATCATTCCGCAGTTTTAAAAAATTAGCATTAATACTTTCAGTTTCATTATTTTTTTCACTGTCTACACAATTGTCATGATTCACTTCACTTTGTTCTACTATTGTGTTATTATTTAATTCAATCGATTTTTCTTGTTCACAAGTCACTGAGTCAAGTTTCTTTAACAATCACTTTTTCCAAGTCCAGCTGCTAAAGATGAAAATAAACAGTTTCCACTACCACCTGTTTCTTTAATTTTGAATTTATATCCAGTTTCGTGAATTAAAATAACGTTCGACATTTTTCACTTGCAATTTATTAACATTTTTAAACGAAAAATCAAATTTTTACGAACACTGAAAATCGACGTTTTCACGACGAAAGTCTGTCGTCTACTGAAATTGACAAAACTCGGGTTAGTTTTACTGTAAGTTAAATATTCCAGAGTTTCGTTTAATATAACGTTTTATAACATTTTACTGCTTAAGAAGACGTTAAGACTCAGGTACAACCCTCAATAAATGCAACTCAAAGTTTGCACTACCTGCATTTAAAGAGTAATGTACAAAACTTTCTACTCTCTTAAACTGAATCAGTGAAAAACTACTGATTTCCAATGGCTCTCTGCTCATGATCACCATGATCACCAAATTTCCAGTAAAATTTCACTGATTAAAATCGCAAAAAGAGAGCCATTGGTTCAGCGGTTTTTCACTGATTTTTGTTCACTGTCTAAAATATAAAATTATATTCTCATTTTATGTATTAAAAATTGATTAAATAAAAATAATGTCCGGAGTTTATATAATTTAAATATAATGAAATCAATAACATATAGCCAATAACACAGTTGATAGTCACTTGTGTCGTGCCTTGTCAGGTCGGCGTATGTGTCGTGTTGAAAAAGTATAATGATCGTGACGTGTCAAGACACGACAATGCACGTGTTCTTGCGTATTTTTGCGTGTCGGCGTCATTGTGATTTTGGGTCTTGTCGTGTCGTTTTGTGTCGCGTGACAACACAAAGACATTTAAAATCTGCTACTGTGTTGTATTTTATTGTATTATATTATTATTATGTGTATTAATAATAATACACATTAAATATTTGTAACGTATCTTTTTTAACAAAAACACATATTATTTCTAATGTGATCGTATTTGGACACGAACACATTTTACAAACGAATAAGAATATCTTTGTACACAACTCGTCTAAAATTTTGTTCCTTTCGAAATCCCTTATTCTGCGCCTTTGGCATTTTCTGACACTTGCTGCATTGTGCAGTAAACTTAGCATTGTTGGACCGTCAACAATGGGAGACTCATTTTCACTCGAGGCCTTCTGGTTCGAAAAAAAATGGTTAAAAAAATTTTTTCATTAAACTTTTTTCGTAATTTGTTTAAAACTTTGAAAATTTAAATATATTATGTGTGAATTTGTTTACGCACTTTAAGCTAAAATTCGAATTTATGCGACTGTTGGAAGTTGAGATAGCATTTTTTTAATTTTTTCACTTTATGCATTAAACTAATTAACATTTTAAACTTTCGTTTTAATAATATCATTTAGGAAGAATTAATGTCTACACCTGATTTTTTGTTTCAGTTTCTAACCATTTTTCTTTAAATTGTACGGGCTCAAAGTCAGCAATGATAAATTGGTCGTTTTTTCCGTGTTTTTTCACCATTTTCTTATCGTGTTATCAACACTATTTGACTTGCAATAATTAAATTTATATCAACTTGTTCGGAATAAAATTGTCTTTCTTATGCTTTTTTTCGTTTTTATTAGCGATTTTTTTTCGCGAAGTTATTCACCGAAAACTAGAGGGGCCAGGATTTAATGAACGGATAGTAGGGTAGGGTGGTTCTTATTTTGGCAATGTCTCCAATCATCAGTCTCACCCCAAAAAATTAATCAAGGTATAAAAAAAATGTTCCTGAAAGTTTAAAGCAAATCGAACAATATTAACACGTGCCTCTAGTCGACTGAAATTTTAAATGGAAAATACATGTAATTTTTCCTTAAAATCACAAAAAAAAATTTCTAGCTTATACAATTTTATTAAAAAAATTTTTAACTTTGGGTGCTTTTAGTACAAGATAAGAGGTAAAACATCCAATTATTTAAAATGTGAAGGAAAAATTATTAACTATTAGAATTAAAATAATAAAATACAATATATATATATATATGGGGCATTCTCCGTGAAATTTTCACTCAAAATTTTTTTTTGATTGAAACAATTTTTTTCGAATTCTATATGAAAAATAAGTAAATACGTGTATTTTTATTTTTTTATTTGATAAAAATTATGAAAGTTATGGTTTTTTTAGATTTAACGTTTTCAGATGCAGAGGACTTTTGAAACACTTTTTTCTCTGTTATACCAAAAGATAAAAAATTATATAATATATGGAAATTATTTATTTTTTCATGAATATTTCAAATATGTAATAAAAAATAACATTAATAAAGCGAAAACATTAAATAAATTAAAATTTCGTCTAAAATGTGACTTTTCTCAAAAGCGAAGTAATTGATTTTCGATTTTTTTCTTTCATTACAACCACTGACAAATAAAGAAATTTTTCCCACTTATGCCAAAGTGGTGTTCCTTAGGGTTCAAATTATATTTAAAAATATGTCAGTCGTTGCACAGAATATTATTCGACTTTTACACTTTTTAAAAAATTAACCTTCAAAAACAAAAGAAAACGAATGTTTTGTGGTTAATTTTTCAATTTCCTTCTCTAAAATCTGTGTAACGACTGACATAATTTTAAATATAATTTGAACCCTAAAGAACACCACTTTAGCATAAGTGGAAAAAATTTCTTTATTTGTCAGTGGTTGTAATGAAAGAAAAAAATCGAAAATCAATTACTTCGCTTTTGAGAAAAGTCACATTTTAGACGAAATTTTAATTTATTTAATGTTTTCGCTTTATTTAATGTTATTTTTTATTACATATTTGAAATATTAATGAAAAAATAAATAATTTCCATATATTATATAATTTTTTATCTTTTGGTATAACAGAGAAAAAAGTGTTTTAAAAGTCCTCTGCATCTGAAAACGTTAAATCTAAAAAAACCATAACTTTCATAATTTTGATCAAATAAAAAAATAATAATACACGTATTTACTTATTTTTCATATAGAATTCGAAAAAAATTGTTTCAATCAAAAAAAATTTTTGAGTTAAAATTTCACGGAGAATGCCCCATATATATATATATATATATATATATATATATATATATATATATATATATATATATATATATATATATATATACGAAGAATGGACAAGAGGCTTTACTTAACGCGTTGAGTGAAGGCTCCCCGCGCTCCCCTTGACATTGTGTGAGAGAGAAGGAATATTATGTATAGCATTGAAGCGTTCTCTCTCGTACCTATTGTTCTTTTCTGAGTATTGCGTACTCTTTTTGTCCTGTAGCTCTTTCTCTCTCCCACTAATAGTGAATTTTATTATTTTAATACATCTTTTAATTTTTCAAATTATTGAATACAGGGTAGATGCTGGCCCGGTTAAATTAAAACTATATTTATCATACAATATCTACATGAACGGGAACGTTTAGGTTTTATTTAATTATTTATAAATTATAATTTATCCTTTCTTGCTTCCCTGTACCAACCTAGCCTATGAACCTTGCCTGCCATAAACTGCATACTTGCGGAAGGTTTCTACGCAATATTAAAATAATTATTGGGACAACTGATTTAATGTTGGATTTGTAACAACCTTTAAAGGGTTACAAAATAGAATGGAATTTCTATTTTTGAAATGTCCATTATTTCCAACTTACATTAATCCTATTTTAAGAGATTAATTTGAAAAATAAATAAACAAATTAAAGATTGTTTCATCAATTAAAAGAATATTAAAAGATATTCTTTTCTAAGAATAAAAAAAAAAGAATTTATTTCAACATAGTGCAATGAACCGATTCCATAAAATGCAAGTTCGGCAATTTTGGCATGGCAACAGGTCTAACGCCCTGTCCCCACCATCTTTTATTGCAATATTTTCCCACCTAATTAGAATTCAATCAAACTATAAAAGAAGCATTAATGACCATCCAAATTGTTCAGTTCGGTTTCCGCAACCCCCAGAGGCTAAACTCTGGCATCGGTGTAAAAGAAATTTGTTAATCCTATAACGTTCCCGTCCGGTACCAAAGACTCAAATTGGTTGTGTGCTTACACGAACAATTTGGTCGGACGTAAAATAAAACACCAACTTACTCCGAAGTCCACGGAGGCCGTTTTTCAAAATTCGAGACAGTAAAGTAAATTCATTTAAAGTAATATTTTATTTTCTTGTTAAAAGACCGGCCGGTTTCGAAAAGTTACCGCGTCCTCCCTGTGTTCGAAGGTTTGGAAAGAAATTACTAATATAGTAAATTTTAAAAACTATTTTGTGCATAAAATTGTGAAACTTCCGCCCGCCTAAAGAAGACTTTAAGGCGGTAAATTATAAGTTCCAGAACTGGTAAGTCACTGTATCGTTCTGGTTTGGTTTTACCCCACCCTCCCTCTTTTTAATGTTTGAGGGACGGA